TATTTTTTTTTTTTCAATGCGGAAGTAAGCCGTTTTCTGTGGTTGTGGCTAGAGGTGATAAAACCGGAAGCTAACAATAAATTAAGTTTTCTACTTATTAAATAGTGTTTTATTAATGTCTACACCTACCCCTTACAATAATGCAAAAATAGTAATTATTGTTGTGACATAAATTACGCTGATGATTATACTATTGATGTGCGCATGCCCAGTAGTAGACGAATCTTTATACCATCTAGCCTTAACTGTTTTCTGTGAATGTGCGAGACTTCCGGTTCATTAGCTGCTGTAGGAAAATAACGAGAAGAATAACAATGTGCAGTAAACGGTAAAACTGTTGCCGCACTACAAACCAATGTGTTCATAATTAAGATAATACATTAACATAATATGGTAAGACACAGCAGTTTGCAATATCCAGCAGCAAAACGAGCTGTTTTTGCACAGCTAGAAATAGCTGGAAGCGAATGACATTTGAAACCAGACACTCTTATGGGAAAAATAAGGTGGATTAAACAAATAATAATAACAAAAAAAACAACTGAGGACAATGTTTCGGCTGTTGACAGCAAGTATGGGTTTGTTTACGGAATGTCAACTCCACTCAACACATGTGACACAAAGCGGGAGTTCTGACAAGCGTGCAGGTACAAACAGCACGCATGACGGCAAATGAAGGACCATACTACTCTTTTCTATATTCCTGTGACATGCTATATTACTGGTTTCAGTGGCACGATGGCCAAGGCATATCTTCAAATGTCTGCACTGGAGACGTGCCTGATCAACCCCTTCATTACGAGAGCCAGACTGCCAAACTTATATTTTTCTATATGCCCTGCCTTTCAGAAATAATAAAATGCTTGGGTGGGATGCCATCCATTTTTTTCCTCTCCGAGAGTATGCGGCATGTTCGCAAGTGCAGCAGCGTGTGTGATTCTTTTTTTTTGTCTGAGGATGATCACAAACATCTTTCAAATACTAACTTGCTCTGTATGGATATAAATTACACAGGAAGAGGAACACTTAGCATATAGTTTAAGAAACCAAAAACTAGCCCCCCCCCAAAAAATGGCTCCAAATATACACAGTTCACAAAAATAGTTGCTATGTCTGGTTTCACATTGCAAGTCCCATGAAGTAGGCTGCTACGCTACGCTAGGCCTTCGGGCCACAATATACGCCTGTCGCTCATGTCCAATGAAAACAAAAGCACGGTCTTTCAGACAACAAAGGCATCGAGACTTAATTACCGCAATCAACACGATCTTCAGCTTGACACTGAGCACATCAGATGTATTCTCCATATTCAGTGCATTTAAAACATGACCACAAACCCATTAACCACTGACTGAGGCCAAACTGGCTGGCTGGGAGCTCTTGGATGGCGGCCAGTGGAGTGAAGGTAAAAAAGTGTGCGTGTTTATGTATTTAGTCCTTTTTAAAGACATGCTCACACACCCTGACACTTTACATTGGCTCCAGGATGTGCAGTTTAATACTTTGAAACGCTCTCTCTGTCTCTGATCTGACGGTTAATTATAGAATTTTTAATATCCATGACGCGTGGGCAGGTACCCTTAATAACATACACGCCAGCTTGTAATTATTGACTTTATTTACTTTTTGGATGTTTGTTTGAAATAATGCACTGCTGGTATCGTGATCTGGAGATCAAAGAGCTCAGGACGTTATTAACATGTGCTGGGATAATCGTTTAAAGTGTAATTACTTTGCCAAGCCCAAGATAATCGTGTTTTTTCTTGCTCCTGGCATTTTACTGTGATTCAGACTTTAGTGTGTCCCCCAAGGGCTGTTTAATGGAAGAGTAAGAAAACACATCTCTATTCATAAGTTTTAGGCTGATGAGTTTTCAGTTAAGTAAGGGTGCCAGCTTAATTGAGACTGACAGGAACGGACATGTTTCTTGAATCAAGGACAATTATTTAAAATTACTAAGCCATATTTCAAAGTTACATAGCCTGTCAATTTCAGAAGTTTTAATAGCACAAATATAAGAGTATCGTGCCACCTAGTGGAGAACATTTTTACTGCAACAGTGGACATTACAGTTTTTCTGAATTGCTAAAACACTAAACCTCAATCTCTGAACCAAATTCTCACTTAAACCAATTTGTCGAATAAAGCACTCTTTCTGCTAAACCTTAAACACGGTCAGGCAGTTAGGCTCTATTTGCAAATCTCATGCACTCGTTTTTGCAAAACTCTAAACACATTCTCATTCACTTAAACACTTTGCACACTGTGATGCATTTGTGCTGCAAAATGCTAAACACAAGCGGCAAAAGTTAAACACAAGTTTGCACACAACGATTCAAAATTGTTCACACTTGTTTCTAATGACGTGATCAAACCAACTGCGCAAAATATGAGCCAGTTCAGAGTGCACAAGTGGCACATGTGACTGAATGATGATACGAACAATAGATGGAAACAATCTGACAACGAGAGGAGGAAGAGTACATGTAAGAAGTGGAGGATGAGGAGAGAAAGAGTAAGGTTTAGAGAGTGTTATCAAGGCTGGATCTGTCAGACCAGAGTTTTTTTTTCTTTGTTTAGCAAAAAAGACAACATTACTTGTGATGTGGACAAAGTCCTCAGGCCGGACTCAAGCACAAAGACATGACGCTGAGACAGAATGAATCTCTCATTGACCCTGATTTTACAATTGCACAACAGTATTTGAGTGTACTGTAACATGCTATTCATTTAGAGTTTTATTTGACCTTTTTGGCCTTTGCAGTTGGACTGCACTATTTTTGCAGGATCCAAGTGCTGAATATACAGTATACAAACATTCAGTACTATTCAGTATTCAGCACAATACTATTCTTGCAGTGCATACAGTAGGCCTATATAATATATCCACCCTAGTTGCAATTACTGTACTTTTTTACAGAATTGC